GTAAAGCCAGAACCAGCAAAGTCAAGGGCAAGAGATATATATGTTTTAATGTGTGTATTCCAGAATGTTTGCGGATAACAGTGCGTGGACGGAGCACCCCCTGCCGCAGGTGCTGCTCCAGTGCTTTCTATGAACAAACTCACCTGCACAGCCTCCCCATGACGACGGCACAGTTATCTCCCCAACTCCCACATGAGAAAGCCCAAGAGAAGGGTACCTTTTCCAATCGGATGGAGCACACACACCAGGGCAAACTCTGACCCAGGTCGGCCGGCGTGGGAATGATTGGGCACTCTTACTGTGCCCACTGCCGTGAAGGTGGGGGTCAAAGACAGGGTGGGGAGGACTAGGCCACCAGAGGAGGGGTGGTGGCAGCTGCAGCCAAGTCAGGCTGAGAAACAGGGTGGAGAACTGCAGACCCGGACAAAGCAGGATGCCCCTGGCCCCTCACCCGGCTGTGCAGCTGATGGGTGCGGAGCAGCAGGGACAACAGTTGGAGAGGAAGCAGCCTGGTCTTTCCCACAGCGGAGGGGGCTTGGGAGGAAGTGGGGCAAAGATTGGAAATTTTTAATATGACCAACTCCAAAGAAGATGAAACCTAGAAACAGGCTTCCATGTTCCTATCTGGAGACTAAAGGAATGCGTAGAGGGCTCCAAGAACAAAAGGATAGTAAGAGATTTGTGAGGAAGGAAGTCCATGCCCAGAGCAGCTAGGGGATGGCGAGCAGGTCAGGGAAGTGGCAAGAGTGAGGGCTGGGGTAGTTTTGACCCCAGGCTGCCCAACCATGGTGTGGTCTTGGAGCACGAGAGGCACCTACACCGGGTCCCCAACCCTGCCCTTGTCTATGGGGAAGGAGAGAGGCTGCCTCCATCCCATCTCCTCCTTTGCTGCACTGAGGGGAGACATCTGCTTTGCTCTTGCTAATTTAGTGTGGGAAGCCTGGCCCGCGCTCTGGTGTAGATAACGATGCCTGCCAGCTGGCAGGCAGGCTGGGGAGCCAGGGGCCCAGCCACATCCCTCCCTGCCTGGCATTCCATCATCCTGCAGCGGCACCCCGGGAAGGATGCAGCTGCCCTGTCACCCCGTATGCCCACGTGGAGGCAGTGGGAGGAGGGCAGGGTTCCTGCCTCGCAGACTCCGGCTGTAGCCTCCAGACCGGCCGGCCTCTCTCATAGCCCTCTGAGCCTGCTTTGCCCAGACGGAAGCCAAGGGAGGAGAGGGGTTTGGAGGACATGGTCCAGGCAGGGGTGGCAAGAACAGATTTGTCAGGAATGGACATGGTCCTGGAGATTGCTGTTCTTCCCCAGGTGGGCACAAGCAGGGCAGCAGAGCCCTGTGGTACCAGTGGTTACAGGTCCCGGACAGAACATCCCTCTGCACAGGTAACCACGCAGGCCTCAGAACAAATGCTTGCTTTGGGACAGACCCGCCCCAAGCCTCCTGCATTCTGTCATCAGGCAATGCTGCCTTTCACTTAACTGGGTGTTTTCTCTGCACTCCCCAGGAGGGGAGCTTCAGCTGCACACTAGGGGACTGATAGGGAAATTTTATCTTTTCATCTTGTTTATCTTTCTTCTCTGCATGGGGGTGGCATCTTTACTCACCCCCCACTCCTGGTGCTGCTCCCGCCCCAAGCACTTCCCTGTTCTAAGTGCCCCTCAGCAAGCTGAAGGCATACTAGAAGGAATTTGAATTTTCCCAGACATCTTAGAAAAACCAGGGGCCAGAGATGGCCAGCTTCCAAGGAGTAGACTGTGACAGACGGGCTTCGTCTCTAAGAGTAGATCAGACGCTGAGAAACCAATAACTGATCTCAGTGCCAATATCACCTTCAGCTAACACATTATTCGAGTTGTTGTTATAAGCCTGCGAATAGCTATTGGATACCAAGTACTTTAGCCACAAGGATGAAAAAAGAAGTATAGCCCTAGCCGGTTTTGCTCAGTAGATAGAGCATCGGCCTGTGGACCAAAGGGTCCCAGGTTCGATTCTGGTCAAAGGCACGTATCTCTGTTGGGTTGCAGGCTCCTTCCCAGTCCAGGCCCTGGTCAGGGTGCATGTAGGAGGCAACCAATCTATGTGTTTCTCTCACATTGATATTTCTCTCTGTCTTTCCCTCTCTTTTCCATTCTCTCTAAAAATCAACAGAAAAATATCCTCCAGTGAGGATTAAAAAATAATATTAATAAAATAAAATAGAAAAGAAGTATAAAACTTGATCCAGGGACCAAGGAAATAGACTTGGGATTCTGTCCTCAGTCTTCCTAGATTTCTCTTCCATTGATGGTCTCCATCCAGCAACCATCATGTCCATGCAGATGGCTCCAGATTGATGTAACCAACCCGTGGTCTCTAATCTGAGCTCCAAAGACGTAATCCAACCACTGCCTAGACATATCTATCATGATATATACTTACACCCTCCCCACACTCGACATGTCCAAAACCAAATTCATCCATCAACCTAACTTCCCTTCCACCCTCTCCCAAACCTACCCATTTCCAAAGTTTGACATCTTTCTGCCTACAATGATCTTTTAGGCCCTTCTCCCTACTCCCACTATTCTTCAAGATAACTCAGATTTCTTGTTTCCTATGTACAAAATGTCTGAGTGCCATGGAGCACATCATGGTTGGGCTAGGCTCTGTCTTCTGGATGCCCATATTGATTTCAGAGAGGAAGGGAGAGGGAGAGAGAGATAGAAACATCAATGATGAGAGAGAATCATTGATTGGCTGCCTCCTGCATGTCCCCTACGGGGATTGAGCCCGCACATGCCCTGCCCAGGACTCGAACTGTGACCTCCTGGTTCATAGTTCAATGCTCAGTCACTAAGGCACACTGGGTGGGCTGAACCCCCATACTTTAAGGTCCAGATGAAAAGCCATGTGAAGACTTCCCAAGTGAAGTCTCCCCTAATCCCTCCCAAGCAAAGAGCCTCTCCTTCCTCTGGGCTTCCATAGCACTTACTCTAAACCTCTCTTTCAGCCCCTTTTTGCTCTCTTCCCCCTTTCAAACACGAGTCTCTAATGTCTTTGTACCTCTGAAATATTCCTACTTCCCAATACATTTAGTAATGTCACACCCAACAGAAACAGTTCTGCCATTCCGAATTTCTCCCTTGTGGGTGCTGACTGGTGCCTTCTTGTACCTTTCTTATCTAACAGTAATGGGGAATGCTTCCCCACACATTGCTGCCTCGACTTTGGTGCCACACTCCCCAGGATGTCCCCGGTCCTCAGTGATCAGGTTGGTTGACTTGTCTATGTGTTCATTACACTGCATTCGCTCATGTCTGGGCACTTACCCCTGAACTGAATGTCTTTCTTGCCCCTCCACACCCTTTGAGGAAGAGACCATGAGGACAGGGATCATGCTTTGTTAACCCTCCCATCCCATCTTTGCCCTGCTCGATTCACCTTTGGTCCAAAGAAAGCCCCCAAAAGTAAGCCACATTCGGTAAGGAATTCAGAATTCTGAAGAAAATGTCAACAGCTCACAGAGTGCATTTTGCAGCAATTCAGCTTGTCCGGTTGCTGGCTCCATCCTAGACTGTAGTAGGCACGAGGCAACAATCTGCTTTGGGTATAGAAATTGAGTGATGTGTTTTTTGAACTGATGTTAAAGTCCAATCGTTTCCAGCTTCATGAGATTTACAGCCAGTTTTGTATGTGTGAAACTAGCCAGATCACCAAGGGAATTCATTTTCTCATCAATAATAGCAATTTCCACAGCTTAGCACCTATAGTTGTAAATAATTTATTTTAAAAACTCAGCCATATTTAAATTTATTATAACCATCTAGACACTTCATCATGCACAAAAATAATAGCTGCAGAGCTATCTTCTGTTTATTTCTGATGCACCCGCTTCTGATGTGTACATTTATTATATATAGTGATTAACAATGTCAGCTCCAGGGTCAGAGGGCCTGTGTTCCAACCCCACCCACCCCACTATTCACTAGCTGTGAGATTGTGGGAAAATCATGCCATCCCCTCTGTGCCTCAGTTTCCTGGTCTATAAAACAGCAATGTTGGCATTTGCATTACAGGGTTATGGACTGAATGAACTGAATGAGCTAATCCATGTAAGGCCTTAGACAGTGCTTGGCACCTGATAAATACTCTATGAAAAACCTAGCTATTAGGATTTGCTAGGGGTGACGCCAACATAAGAAAAATGTTTGTCTCTATGCCATCCCCAGCCCTCAGCGTTCCTATTCAGTAGGGAGGGGGCAGCATTATCCACATTTTACAAACAGCGCAATTGAAGCAAGATGTCCAGGCAGCGAGCGGCAGTCTGAAACTGGAACGCAACTCTGTCGATGTAAATACAAGGACTCTTTCCAGGAGGCTGTGAAGCTGTACAGTTAAAATGAGTGTGAGGCATCCCAGAGGAGCCTGTGAGCAGTGACCCCCTATGGCCTTCTCTGCCACGGTTCTCCATGGATGCTCAGCAAAGTCACTTCCCTCTCCATCTCTGAAATGATTTCAGGCTGTGGCTTCCCAGATATTTCTCTTACCAACTTTTTAAAAAGCCATATTAGGGTGTAGATGAGGTGCTGGCTAGATACCCTCTCTTTGGTCCCCCATGTTCCCTGGCTCCTGAAGTCCTCCCTGCTGGGGTGCCTTGGGTATAGATATATACCTCACCTGGCTGCAGACCCTGGTGCGTTGCAGTGTGTCTTTCTGGTGAGCCAGGACTTTAACTCACTTGGAACCCCCACAAGAAGACTGGCTGTACAGGACCCTGTCTGTGTGGAAGCAGCCCCAAGAGTTTGTGGGTATCAGGAGCATTCCTGTTTCTGAATTTGGACTATTCAAGAGGATGCATTCCCTTTCTGTCCACTAGGGGCCGCTTGTAGGGGGATGGAAAAAACGGAGGCTAAAAAAATATGCTGCTGAAATTTCAGCAAGAAGGGAAAAGAGAGAGCGCTAGAGAGAGAGAGAGAGAGAGAGAGAGAGAGAGAGAGAGAGAGAGAGAGAGAGAGCGAGCGCGCAAAGCATACCAGGCTTCCTCATCTCCTTCACGTCAGAGGCAGGAACCGACTGTGCGAAGGCTGTTGGCTCAACACGCAGAGACGGCGGAAGGCTCAGACAGAGAGAGTGGGAGCAGAGGGGTCCTTCCTTACCAGGAATTACCACGAGTGGAGTAAAGCCGCCTGACTTTTTGATCTTATTTTGTTTGCCTCCTCTTCCTCCTTCCACTCCAGCCCTGCCAGCTTGGAGCCTCCTCTTCCTCCCAGAAAAGGAGGAAGGGAAGAGAAGGGAGAGAGGTGGGTTCTCTTGGTGAGCGCATCCGCCGGCTCCAGCCCGCACAGGCAAGGAACCTTTTCTCAGAAAGCTCCTCTCGCTCCCCCGCCGCCCACCCCCAGCCTGGTAAGTCCGGCGCACTGGCTCCCTCGGTTTTCTCGCTGGCGTGATTTCAGCACCACGGAGAGCTACGAGATGCCTTTCCCTTCCTGTGTGTCTGTGTGTTCCGGCAAGGCTCTGGCACTAAGGTTACATCTATCTCTCTGCTGCCGTGGAGCTGGGTTCTGCGTAGCGAAAAAGGGCACAAAACTATGTCTACCGAATTAAAGGGGGATGTGGACTCCGGCCTTAGGGGTGTGCGTGTGCGTGAGTGTCTTATGCTGTTGCATAAGACAGGTGAGGTCTGAGCTAAATTGACAGTTGGTTTCTGTGTCTCTGTGTAGGGTTGTTCTTCCGTGTAGATAAGAGAGAGGGTTTGGGGAATTAGTCATGCGTCTTCGTTAACTCTTTCCCCACAAGCCATTCATGGTGGGAAAGTGTTGCAAAGGAAGTCTGGGGTTTGGGAGTGGAGGTAGACTTAAAAGTTATGCTCTTCTGAGAGAGGATGGAAGAGGTGGTTGTTAAAATGTCAGTTTCCCCAGGATTCTCTGGGCTCTTGCTGTGGGAGGAGATCAATCTGACCTTTTACTTTCTCTCCTGGTGTGGATCCATGGCAAGTGGACAGGTGCGACAGGTGAGCATCAGGATGGGGTGGTTTGGGGGGCTGAGGTCTCCCTGACCTCACAGTGGCAGGAACGTGTCTTGAGCTTTGCCGAGGTTGGCTGATGTGAATTATACTTCATTTGCAAGGAGGCAGGAAGTGCCCTCCACTTTGCTGTCATCCTTGACTGTGTATGGCTGAGGACAACATCTGTTCTGCCCTGTTTTCTGTCTGTGGAAGACAGCTCAGAAGAAGGGTTTGCCCCCTCATGTCTGGGGAAGCAGACTCAGGCAGGCTCTGAGTAGTGTTATGCCTTTAAGCACTGAGGGGCGCCACAAACAGGTTCATTGTTATTTTAAATTTCATTGCTACTTTTTTCTGCAAGGCTCTGCTCTGTCTCCTCTGCTTCTTGCCTCTCAGAAATATGTTTATTAACTCCCCGCATCTGCCTTGGGTTTGCCTTGGAGACACTGACTATCTGCTTCCCCCCCCTTCAGTTTTACCCACATCTGCTCGGGTGGGACCGTTCAACAAGTGGTGTTGGGGACTTCCTTTCATCATCCAGTCTCCAGGGAGCTGGCATCCCGGGAGATATTAAGGCTCTGTTCACCTTCTCTAAGAGGAGGAGAGGGGCAGGTTCACTCCTTCATAACCCCAATGAACTCTAGGTTGCAGTTTCTCTTGCTTTTAATTCAGCACCCTGGGCCCCTCTTCCAAGCTGAACAAAATACTTTCTGCTCTTGTTCTGGTGATAGACATAGTCCTGAGTGAATGGCAGCACTGTTTGGTTTGGTTTTGACTATGCTTGCCATTGAAGATGCAGTAACCTCAGCATCAGTGAATGCAGTGAGGAAAAGAGTGCAGTCAGAGGTTGTAATGGCGGGGAAGGAAGATTGAAATAGAGAAGCAGAGCATCAGAAACCAACACTGACGCATTCGTATTTCAACTCTCCCAACTCCTCCCACCCTTGAAACCTCTCAGTTTGAGCAAGAGAGTGGATGGTTTTCTGCATGACATGGCCCTGAAGGTTTAAAAAAGTCCATGCCCTTGCAGTGAAACCTGTCCCAAAGCACCATTTATTACTGAAGTCACTGTGCTTAGTGGTCATTATCTCATTAATGCCCTTAAATTCTCTCCAAAAGAAGTGCTCAGTGTCATTACTGGGCCCACTTAATAAATGGGAGACATAGGAGTTGGAACTGCTAGGCCTGAGCATAGCAAAAGTGGAAGTAACACTTCTGGTCTCCTAATATCTCATCACCTCTGAGGTGCAGAAATGCTCATGTGTGAAGGAGCAGAGATGGATTGCTCCCCAGTGGACAGAGTTGCAACCGAAGCCTTTTAGTGAGCTCAATGTGGAGCAGTGACTTTACCCTGGTGAAGACTGAGAATCAGCTAGGAGTCTCAGGTGTTGCTGGCCTAAGGTTCTCAGCCAAGAAGATGGCTAGGAGCAAGTTGAAGAGCTCTCTGGGCTTACTATGAAGCGAAAAGCCCAGGCTCGTGGCCTCTAGGCTGAACTGATGTCACACACCTGATTGCCATACTCACCTTGTTTCAGAAATCCCAGTTGAAGGCACCCTTCTGGGGCACATTGCCATGAGTGTCTTGGTTCTAGGTGTTTAATGACTTTCCTCTCCTCTGAGCCTTCTCTGCAAGTGCCTCCATTGCATCTTTGGTGGCTCAGAATATGGGGAGGATGACTAAGGAGGAGGAGACGGCTGGGCTCTGAGCACCTAAAGAAACTGTAGTGGAGTAATGGGAGATGGACACAAACCCACCTCACATACCAACCTCTGCTCCCCTGGCCCTCCCCTCTGGGCAGCATGTAGGAGAGATGGCCACTGTGTTCTCATATCCAGCCCTCGTTCACAGAGCAGGGAAGACTCTGCTGGCTGCCTCTGAGATCCGAGGATGGGAGAGATGTGGGGAAAGGTGGAGGAAGGAGAAGGTGGGCACCCTGCCTTATTTGCCCCAGCCATGGGTTAACATCTTTGACCTGGAGAGCACTGCTGTTACTAAAAAAATCCAGGTATAGTTTTCATACAATAAAATGTACTGATCTTAAGTATTCATATTAGTGAGTTTTGACGTTTGTGTTAACCACTACCCCGAACAAGGTATACAAAAGTTCCCTTGTGCTTCCTTCCAATCAATTTTCCCCTCCCCCAACTCCATCACTCTCTGACTCCTGTTAACATAGCTTCCACTGCTACATGTTGCAGTAGAAATATATTGCTTAAGGTGATACTTAATGAGCATGTTATGTAGATCCTAGACTTTTAAGAGAACATTTCAGAGTTCTGAGGTTACTGTCATTGGGTGGGCGGCAGAGAGGGTAGGGGAGGGGTGCATTCTTTGTCCAAGGTTATGGTCATGGTGTTGGAAAGTCAAGTGGTCATTGTGTGTGTGTGTGTGTGTGTGTGTGTGTGTGTGTGTGTGCATGCACCACAATCAAGTCCAAATAGGAACCACAGAGACCCCTGCGAGCCCCTACCTCTGAGATGACCTAAGTTATTTGATGGTGATGTATGTGGAAAGGATGTTAAAGTTTTTATTCAAAACTTGGAATTCAGCATTCAGGTGGCTGGGCTCCAGGAGGAAAGTGTACTTGCGTAAGGATACTAGGGGAAGAGAGAGGAGCATTCACTGTGATAGTGTTTATGCCATGAAATTTGGCTCCATCCACAAAGGCCATGGCTAAGATTGTTGTTTCTCCTTATTGAAAAATGGCTTTAGAACTGGAAGACACTTTGCAGAGACTCATGTCCCATCATATACTATCATAGTTCCATTAGGGATGTCTCCATTCTTCCTTCTTCCATCCCTGGTTGTAGGTTAGGATAGGGAGTCTCCTATTTTATCATGAAGAAGCAGTGGAGTTATCAGAAAGTTTTGATGATTTTGGTGGAAAAAATACACACACACACACACACACACACACACACACACACACGCCCCTACATCGTGAGTCCTAACACCTCACCCACCCTGTATCTGTAAATGCTCTATGTTTAGAGAATGTTACATAGAGATGGGGCCTTTTGTGCACAATTCAAGCATGAGTTTCTCAACTAAAAACTCAGTTTCTGGTAGATAAACCAGCAAATCAGAATCTTTAGTAGACCTCAAAATTTGACCAAGTGGGTCAGAGAGCTCTTTGGATGCTTGGTAGATGAATGTGTCCTCTGCCTCTCCTCACTCAGAGCCTTTACTAAGCATCTTCTTCCTGGCACTGCCCTTTCTGGGATTGCCTGCCTCAGGGAATGCCCTATTCATTCAGAGTAAGCGAGCACATTTATGGGAGGCTCCTTCCTGACTCAGCTCTACCAGTGAAGACCCCCGAGTGGAGTGTGGGTTGCTAAGCCACCAGGTCATGGCAAGTTAGAAGACAGCCACAGTGTGGTTCCCGAATGTCTAGGCAGAATTCTGTGCAGACACACAAAATTTGAGTGATCATTACCAAGCCAGTTCCAGTAGATCACTTGGGAGAAGTGCAGAGGCCTCTTTGCCTAGTCTTGACCACAGGCTGTTAACAAAGATCCGATGAGAGTCCTGCTTAACTGGAGTTTCATCTGCAGAGCAAACTCAGTGGGAAAGGGAAGCTGGAATTTAGATGTTTAAAAGCTGTTGCCAACTGTATGTAAGAATCTCTCCATCTCTACCCTGGAACATGACTTTGGGCTAGAATTGTATTGATAACTAGAACACAGCAAGTGACCCATGTGTCAGCTGGCAAGGGAACCTCAGCAGCCTTGCCCTCTTCTCTTTCTGTTATTTATTTATTTTTTGTGATGAAGTATACATAACATAAAATTTACCTTTTTAACCCTTTTTAAGTTTACAGTTCAGTCGCATTAAGTACATTGACACTGTTGTGCAACCATCACCTCCATCCATCTCTGGAAGGTTTCCATCTTCTGAAACTCAACCTCTGTACCCATTAAACAACAGTTCTCCATTGCCCTGCAACCACCATTCTACTTTCATTTTTATGAATTTGACTCCTCTAGGTACCTCATCTAAGTGGAATTATACCATATTTGTCTTTTTGTGTTTGACTTATGTCACTTAGTATAATGTCTTCAGGGTTCATCCGTGTTGCAGCATATGCAGCAAAATGTCATTTCCTTTTAAGGTTGATTAATATTCCATTTATTTATTTACCACATTTTGTTAATTCATTCATCCATTGATGGTCATTCATGTTGCTTCCTCTTTTCCTCCTTTAATTGTGGACAATTGCCTCTGCTTTGCCCTCCAACCAAGCAGAAAAGGGATACTCTCTGGTCATGGTTCCCATTGAGGTGAAATTTTTCCCTTTCCCCATAAAGACTAAGAAGGTGGCTTCTTTGAGGCAAATCAATGAGTTGGGTCTGGCTCCTGTACTCTGGCTCCTGGCTCTCATTGTTGAGGGGGCAATAGACA